TATTTCTTCGTTAAGTTGTTTTGTATTTTGTCAAAATGTCTGAAGAGCGAAAAGTAAGGGTTTCAATATATTGGGGGGTGAGGTTGTGGTGGCGAATAACTCAGTAACCTATAGTTTATCTCCACAGTGTCATGTTAAGTTGCAACTTACAATGGAGTACGATAAATTAGTATTGTTGTTATGTAAAAAAATAAGTGTGAGCAAACGTTCGGTGAACCTTAAAGTAACCGGAAGATATCTGTATTCTATCACTCCGCAAGGGATTGCTTGTTATGCTGAATTTAACATCGAGGACGATGAAACTCTGAGAGATTGTTTGAGGACTTCGGATGAATACCGGAAATTTCTTGTGATAAAAATGTTGGAAATGTACGTTAAGGTTGAACACGTTTGCAATAATGAGGTTGCGCAAAGAAGGGATATCCCTCAGTCATCGGGTGGTTATTTTGGAGCAGTTTTAGCCAAACAGATTCCGGCTGAAAGAGTTTGGCTTGATCTAAACTTATCTCCATGGTCGAATGAGTAGCAAGGAAATAATTTCTCTCCTACTTTACATAATCCACAAGACGAGTGGTAAACTTCAATTTTCCTTTGTGTTACGACGTTTATTTTTCCTGTATTGAATTTGTATTAACACCCATATATTCCACAGGGGGTACCGGCCAGATATGAATTTTACAAGTTATGAACCAACGCCTAGTTGGAATATGCATAGTTATGGTGTGTTGGATCATGGTGGTCCATCCGGGAGTCATCACCAACAGGATAATGTCCATCATGGGATGTCAACACATTACGATTTGTAAGTGAAGTGATATAGCTATATGTAAAGTATTTATCAATTTGAGTAACTCATTATTTTGTTGGTTGTGCAGTGAAAACGAGCAACTTGAACGTCATGTTCTGACTCAATTGCCCAAAGACGACATATTTAATCGGGATCTAGCAGATGCACAAGGTTAGGAAGAGAATAGTGATTATGACAACAATGTCGATGAGTCGGGAGATGACACACCCTTCCCTGATGAGGGTGATAATGAGGAGGAAGAGAATGCTGGACCTGATTTGACGAGGGAGCATGCTCCACCCCCTATTAGACCAAGAGTATACGAGTCCCACGTGCCATTTCATTCAAGGGAGATTCCCTACCTTGATCATTTGCCAAGTATGCCGGATGTGGATGCCCTCACAAGGGATATTGACGAAATTCGGACAGCAATGTGGGATGAATCTAGAGCAACGGTGCTATCAAAAAGCATGCTTTTTCCCGATAAAGTGCGCCTAGCCAGGGCGGTGCTAATGTATAGCGTAAAAGAGTGTCGTGAGATCACGGTACGCGAGTCATCTCCAGAAATATACAAGGTTATTTTTCCATAGATGGTTTACGGGTTGTAATTGGATGCTGCGTGCGAGGAAGAAGAAAACAAATATGTGGGTTTTGGGTAAATACATTGGCACCCACAATTGTGAAATGGACATATTCAGCGGGAATTATTTTAACTTGAATGTTGACTTGATTTCTCTTGTCTTGATTCCACACATTGAAGCGTCCATAAGGTACAAGATCAAAGAGTGTATAACATCCGTCCACTAGGAATATGGGTGCACCATTACCAAAAGAAGGCATTTCTCGGGCGCAAACGTGCATTTGAAATTGTTTATGGTAACTGGGATAAGTCATTTGCATCTCTACCCAGGTACATGGCTGCATTGCAACACATTAACCCTGGGACTGTTGTTGAATGGAAGCTTGAGCGGAGTCCGGGAATACCAGAATATATATTCAAATATGTGTTTTGGGCATTTAAACCAACAATTGATGGTTTTCTACATTGCTGGCCGGTAATATCCATAGACAGCACTCAAGTATATGGAAATTATGATATTAAGCCGTTGATCGCCGTTGAAGTAGATGCTAATGGAAATATATTAGTAGCACCCGAAAAATTTTGATATACTTGAGTGTAAAGCCCCGTAAATTTTCGCAAATGAATTTAAGGTTTCGTGGTGCCGGAGTAGGCTTACGTGGTTGGGGATTGTATAAAATCTTCACGGCGAGCTTGCAAGCTGCGGCTCAGACTTTTTGGGTTGAACAATGCACCAGAGAGTAAAGAAATATTTTCGGCAAAAGAAGGCGTTTCTGCGACCCACTATACGGTCGCAGAATCACTCTGCGGACCGCATAATGATCGCAGAGTGAGACACTAAAGGGCAGGCTTGGAGACCAATTCTGTGGTGCATTATGCGACCGCAGAACAGGTCTGCAGGCCGTATAATGACCGCAGACCAGGTCAGGCACGCCCAGTTTTGGAGGCCAAATTATGTGGCCGATATGCGGTCGCATATGCGATCGCAGACCCTGTTCTGGAGCTTCATTTTTGGGTTTTTACAACCTGGCCCAACTTCGTTAAATACACATAAAGGGTCATTTTTTGAGCAAAAATTCTGATGTTTTAGAGAGAAGGGAGAGTGTTTTAGAAAAAGAGGAAACCCTAAGATAATATTCTTCAATTCTTGCTCAAATCGTGGAAGATTAACAAGGAAATCTCACAAGTTCTTCATCTAAGAGGTAAGGTTCCATACCCTAGTTTTTGATTTCGAATTTTGGTAGAAGATGGTTGATTAGGAGCATGATTCTTGGGTATGAGAGTATTATTTATACATGCATGTACCAATAAAATTTGTGGGAAGATTGTTGAGCTTAAATAAGTAAGGATTGGGTTGTGGAGTGAAGGAAATCTTGTAGAAGGACCTTGTGGTTAAATTTGCACACCTAGTGTTTGATAAAATGCTCAAATGAGCTGAAGCCATGAATATCTTCCTAATTATGGTTCAATTTTGTTACATTTTCAAAATAGATTAAAGTTGCTAAGATTTTCGGAACATTTTAGAGTGTAAGGAAGCTTAATTGAGGTATGTTGGCTAAACTTTCTCTCTTAGAATCGAATTCCATAATGTTCCCGTGTGTTTCAAAGTGTGGGTTGCATATTAAAATGTTGTGGCTTTGAATCGTATTTCAAATGAAAGCTAGTATGCCAAATCGTGTGAGGAAATCTCAATATTCTTAAGACTCTTAATTATTCATATGTGTACCTAAAGTCTTGATTGGAAATGTCTTATTGTTGATAACCTATAAAGATGGTTGGAAATGAAATAATTTAATTGGGGATATAGTGTGTGGCTAACGTGTCAAGAATCTAAGTTATGACTGTGGCTAGTAGTGTAAATGATTTGAGAGAATGCGATAAAGAATATGAAATGAGCCTCTGCCCGATTTTTTAAAAATGATTTCGAAAATAGAACTGCCTAAAGGCTTTTGTACTCAATTCATGCCCATAAGTGGTTGCTTTAAATAATGCTTTGCTTTATAAATATATCCAGTGTGATTCGAGTTCTTACATACTCAAGTGTTGAAATTATATATTGTCATTTCTGGGGAAGAGTATTGCAAGAATAAATGATGTATTGATTGTTTATGATTTTGATGTGTGTTTCTATTGCTGGTTGGTATGCCCCATTCTTCGGGAAGAAACCATTTGTGTTTAAAGTTCACATTTCAAATGAATTTGAAGTGTATGATTTTTGAAATATTCTATATGTTAATATTTGATGGTGATCTTTGAAATTAAAAGAAGTGAAAGTGTGGAATATGAAATACGGCCATTGTGCCAGGAATAAAGAATCTTGTGAATGGCCAAATGAGCCAAGGAAATATTGTTGTTGTGAGTGACTGGAAATACTAATGAGGATTTATACAATGTGAAAGAGGTTGAGGTGAGTACAATTGTATTTATATTACCTTTGTGTGCAAATCAAATCAAAAATATTTTTGGGAGCATCTTTAGCACAATTGAGGAAGGGTGGGTCATAAGGCCTACACCTGAAATTACACGCGTCGGTGTAGGGGTGGATTGTGATTATTCCTCTTATTTGGGATGAAATTGAAACATTGGTGAAATTGTGATTATTCCCCTTAATTGAGATGAAACTGGTAACAATTGTGGATTGAAAAAGTCGACGCACACGGCATATGTGGGAAGGCGGCCTAGTTGATCAGGTGGAGATCGGATGCTGTGTTGCGCACATGGTGGTACTACTCTTGGTAACAACTTTCTTTCGCATCACTTGTCAAACCACATTGTTCATGGGGAGATGGCCTAGCCGATCGGGCGTGATCGGACTCCGTGCTAATAAAGACGGTGGTATATCGGTGCTAATGATCTCCCAACCAAAAATTGTATATGAAGTTCATATTTTGAAAATTATTATTTTTTAACTGGACATTTGGATATTGTGGATTGTGACTTGTTGTTTCTATGTGTTGCCTTTTCTTATATGGCCATTCTATTTCGAAAGAGGATTTTTAACTATACATACTAGTGCTATTCGACAGTACTAACGTCCCTTTTGCCGGGGGTGCTGCATCTTTAATGGATGCAGGTGGTTCTACAGTAGGCGGCATTGATCAGTGATAACAGTGCACTCTTTTCAGCTGATTTGGTGAGTCCCACTTCATTTTGGGGTCATGTATCTTTTGTTTCTCATGTACTGTGTGTTGAGGTATAGCTAGGGCCTTGTTGCCGGCATTTCCATATTACTCTTGTATTGTATTTAGAGGCTCTATAGACATGTTGTGGGTTGTGGTTGATGTTGGGAATTGAACTAGAAATATTGGTATTTGGAAATCATGTTTTTCATTAATTTTATAAACTCGTTATATTTTGGAAATTATGAATGAAACTGCTAATGGAAATGAAAAGGAAGTTGTTAATAAAATCTTTTCAGTATTTGATTAATGTAGTACATTTCCTCTTTATTCATGCATGAGTTTGGGTAGAAGGAAATCTAACAGGCTTGCTCGGCCGGGTTCTCTCGGTTGAGCGCCGGTCGCACTTCTCGATTTCGGGGCGTGACAATATTTCCCTTAGCTTTTGCTATTTGTGCCAATGAAAGCCAAGAGACGTGGACACTATTATTGAATCACTTGAAAGAGCACGTTATCAAACAACGTTCAGGTATTTGTCTAATATCTTATCGGCATGGTACTCTCGTCCATATCCTCGCCTATCAATCCACCTCCTAGCTAGAGGGAGAAACGGAGGTGGTGCACCCGGAGCTAAGGGTGGTAGAGGTGGCTGCAACTGCATGAACCGCTCCCAGGCTCAATCCTAATATACAAAGTGGACGTAAAATTTAAGGTATATATTTACTGGGTATGTTATAATTAATAGAGTATTCGACTATGTTTTCACCTGCAGCAGCGGCAAAAATCCGGCAACGTCATGCTGGGTGCCCATGCTCGCCCAGTACATCTGCATGTACAAGTAACCGAGAACAGTAGCACACCAGCTGTAATGATGTAAATCATCTAGCCGCTCAAGATGATGAAGAAATTTCAAGCTGACTAGGTTCCCCGAAGTGTTCGGGAACAAAACCCCTACAAACATAAGGAGCAACAGCAACCTCGTGTACCAGTAAATATGAAGCTCTGGTGTATCATTTGTGATGTCAGCGTGCAATGCCTCAAAATGCTGCCGAACGGGCGTCAACTGCAAACGACTGGCCCCAACCGATGCAGTCTCATCCGGTGGCTGGAAACCAGTGAGCCGCTGCAGCATCTCCATGTAGTGCAAACCTGTATACTCTCTGATGGAATTCGACAAAGCAACAGGGTGTCCATCAACGGGCAGCCCATACAGGACCTCTACGTCCTGAAGCGTGATAGTGACCTCACCAATGGACAAATGGAATGTGTGCTTCTCCGGTCGCCACCGCTCTATCAGGGTCGTGATCAACGACCAATCCAGCTGTAATTGGCCGATCTCCACAATCCTATAAAAACTCGTACCCTGGAGGCGTCTGACTATACGGGGATAGAGAGGGTGTTCCCTGAGGAAGCCCCACATATCGTATACTCTCCTGGCGCGGAACGTCTGGGCCAGTAACTGTCCCTCCCATGTGTGGGATGACCTATGATCGCCCTTCAACAATAGTAGCTCTAGCCTGGCAGGTCTGGGATGCAAAGGCGGAACCTCCATGTCGTCTACTGTAAATTAAATAATATTAATTACATTATTTTACTTTAATATGTTTGTTTTATTATTTTATATATTTGTTTGTAAATTAAATAATTAATTTTCATAATTATACAAGATTTAATTATTAAATATTCACATATGGGTTTCGTGCTCGATACTTGAGGCCCAGTAGCACCAAGGTATCGTGAATTCTTATGTTCATGATGAGAAATTTTCTCGATTTATCACTCAACATGTCTGTTATTTTAAATGTTAGTTTATTATTTATATGTTAGTTTAATATTGTATATGTTAGTTTTATTAATTTATATGTTAGTTTTATTATTATATATTTTTGTTTATGACTCACTTATTTTTGACTATAATAAAATTAAATAATTAATTTTCATAATTATACAAGATTTAATTATTAAATATTCACATATGGGTTCTGGGCTCGATATTTGAGGCCCAGTAGCACCAAGGTATCGTGAATTCTTGTGTTCATGATGAGAAAATATTTTTGATTTATCACTCAACATGTCTTTTATTTTAAATGTTAGTTTATTGTTTGTATGTTATTTTAATATTGTATATGTTAGTTTTATTAATTTATATGTTAGTTTTATTATTATATATTTTTGTTTATGACTCACTTATTTTTGACTATAATAAAATTAAATAATTAATTTTCATAATTATACAAGATTTAATTATTAAATATTCACATATGGGTTCCGGGCTCGATATTTGAGGCCTAGTAGCACCAAGATATCCTGAATTCTTGTGTTCATGATGAGAAAATTTTCTCGATTTATCACTCAACATGTCTGTTATTTTAAATGTTAGTTTATTATTTATATGTTAGTTTAATATTGTATATGTTAGTTTTATTATTTTATATGTTAGTTTTATTATTTTATATGTTAGTTTTATTATTATATATTTTTGTTTATGACTTACTTATTCTTGACTATAATAAAATTAAATAATTAATTTTTATAATTATACAAAATTTAATTATTAAATATTCACATATGATTTTCGGGCTCGATATTTGAGGCCTAGTAGCACCAAGGTATCCTGAATTCTTGTGTTCATGATGAGAAATATTTTTCGATTTATCACTCAACATGTCTGTTATTTTAAATGTTAGTTTATTATTTATATGTTAGTTTAATATTGTATATGTTAGTTTTATTAATTTATATGTTAGTTTTATTATTTTACATGTTAGTTTTATTATTTTATATGATTTTTTGGTACTCACTTATTTTTTACTATAATAAAATTAAATAATTAATTTTTATATTTATACAAGATTTAATTATTAAATATTCACATATGGGTTCCGGGCTCGATATTTGAGGCCTAGTAGCACCAAGGTATCGTGAATTCTTATGTTCATGATGAGAATTTTTTCTGATTTATCACTCAACATGTCTGTTATTTTAAATGTTAGTTTATTATTTATATGTTAGTTTAATATTGTATATGTTAGTTTTATTAATTTATATGTTAGTTCATTATTTTACATGTTAGTTATATTATTTTATATATTTATTTGTTACTCACTTATTTTTTACTATAATAAAATTAAATGATTAATTTTCATAATTATACAAGATTTAATTATTAAATATTCACATATGGGTTTTGGGCTCGATATTGGAGGCCCAGTAGCACCAAGGTATCCTGAATTCTTGTGTTCATGATGAGAAAAAATTTTTGATTTATCACTCAACATGTCTTTTATTTTAAATGTTAGTTTATTGTTTATATGTTAGTTTAATGTTGTATATGTTAGTTTTATTGATTTATATGTTCGTTTTATTATTTTATATGTTAGTTTTATTATTATATATTTTTTTATGACTCACTTATTTTTTACTATAATAAAATTAAATAATTAATTTTTATAATTATACAAAATTTAATTATTAAATATTCACATATGGGTTCTGGGCGCGATATTTGAGGCCTAGTAGCACCAAGGTATCCTGAATTCTTGTGTTCATGATGAGAAAAAAATTTCGATTTATCACTCAATATGTCTGTTATTTTAAATATTAGTTTAATATTGTATATGTTAGTTTTATTAATTTATATGTTTGTTTTATTATTTTACGTGCTAGTTTTATTATTTTATATGATTTTTTGTTACTCACTTATTTTTTACAATAATAAAATTAAATAATTAATTTTTATAATTATACAAGATTTAATTATTAAATATTCACATATGGGTTCCGGGCTCGATATTTGAGGCCCAGTAGCACCAAGGTATCCTGAAAATATTGTTGTTTTCTCATACTTAGTCCGAAAAATAATGTTGTTTTCTCATGTTATTTTCTTATGATCGTTGACTAGAATTGGACAGAGTTTGTGTTTGAACTATTAACTTTTCTTTTACGTATTTTTGGATATAAGAGATACTTAAATGATTGACTTCAATAACTACAAGGACACTACGCTAAAGGGCACTATATTTTACTACGCTAAAAGGGCACTACATTACATATACAAGCACTACATTAGGCCACAAGATACCACTAGAGGGAACTAAAGTAACAATTTATCTATTTTACTAGTCTTTAAGCAAATAAATAATCTAAACCGGAGAAAAATAATAAATAAATTTAATCACAAAACATTCACGAAAATACATAAACCACAGTAAAAAGTAACTAATTAACATTTTTTTAACGACTAATAATAATTTCTCTATTTTTACTAATTTATTTAGCACACTAATATCATAGTTCAGATAAAAATAACAAATTAGTTAAATCGCAAAACAATCACAAAACAACATAAAACACATTAAAAACAACTATTTTGAATTTTTTATACGAGTTTTAACAAAAACTAAGTCGGAATACCTCGATTTAAGGTTTTTGAAAAGTTGAAGATTTGGTGATTTGGAGCCGAAACGAGCAACCCACTACGAGATAACGCCTTAGCTAGGATGTGGGATCGAGAATCTTTACTTTTTGTGGGACGGGTGGGCTCCACTCGAGCTTTTTTCGTTGACAATGGGGGAGGGGGGACCGTTGTAATTTTTTTGTTTTAATGGGGGGAGGGGAGGGGGAGTTCTGGTTTGGTGGGGAAGGGAAGGGGCCCTTTTTTTATGTGGGCATAGCGCCGTTTATTAAGGCGTTATACTATAGCGCGGTAATAAAATGTGTTATACCTCTCGTCTTTTGAAATTCACGTATAACGCCCTTTTAAAGGGCGCTATACCTTAACGGGGGCAAACAGCCGTTAAGGTATAGCGCCCTTTAAAAGGGCGTTATACATATTTTGGTTATCATCTCTTTTTTTTTTTTTTTTTTACATATTTCAAAGGTTTGAGTCCAAAAGAATCACATTTTGATTCCGATCAAAAGATTTAGCACAGTAGCCGACAACTAGTCCAACAAGTTACTGACAGTGTTTCATCAAACTAAATGCTTAAAGCCTAACATGTCTTCCCTTTGCCAACTAACTTTTACTAATGTGTCTTCGTTTGTTATCTCATCCAGTTCGGATACTATTTGAATCGTAGCAACCCCCTATAATATTCACTTGTAAAACGACATCTTTAGAAGTGACAATTGGCAAACTTTTAAAATAAACTTAACTAAACAAATAGAAAGTTGGCATAGAAGAATAGCAGTAAACCTAGTATTACGTATTAATAGTATTACTTAATTAAGTCCATACTATTAATTATTTTCTCGCGTGCATCAGTAATTTAGTTGTTGAATTATACATTTACCATTAGTCCTGTATCTTTCAAGAAAACAATGGTTATATTCTTTTACAAAATGGTGTGATTTAAAATATAGTGACATCTCATGAAAAGACGTGTCCGTTGAAAGGCATCCTTTGGTAAGAGTGTGACTTTGTTGCTCCCTAATTATAAAAGGATAAAATGGTCCAGTAGCCACTTAAACTTGTACCAATTTATTAACTTGATACATAAATTTATATTTTTCCTAATTTAACACTCTTGATGGAATGGATATTAATAAATACATCCAATAGAGTGTGTATGTTAGATTATTTATTGTTTCACATGTATTATTTGTGGATCCATTTTAAAATTTATTTATTATACTTTTTACTTTTATTCTCCACTCAAACCCCCTCCCCCATCAATCTGTAAAAGAACCTAAAGTTTTTGACCAAACCCTAAATACAAAATCGTCGGCAACCCCTGTTTCTCCATAATCTCCATAATCATGTTCTTGGAGATCCGTCAAGAAAATATTCTTCAATCAAATCTCAAGAACCCAAATCAAACGAGAATAATTAAAAAGTTTTCAAAGGTTCTAAAACCCATAAACCCAATAAAGAGTACAAAGGTTCTAAAAAATTCTTCATCAAACAGTGACTGATTTAGCAGTGAAGGAGGAGATAAATTTAGTGGTGAAATAGAAGATGCTTTTATCAGCTTGTCTTTTGGTCGAAAAGCAACTTAAATTCGTCGTGTCGCCGGCTAATAGGGAATGGATGTGCTTCACCAGAGAAGGCGGATGAAATGGCCGTTTAAAAGACCTCAGAAGAGTAAAATTGAGATGACATTCATCGCCAGAGACTTCTTGTGGACACCAGACTTGGATTGTAGAAGGGAAAAGGGCGATCTTTTACCCTTTTGTTTTCATTTTCAATTTTTAATTATTTTCCTTTTGATTTTATTATTTTTTTAATTGGAATATTATTTTCACGCGCATTTTTTGCGTGATTGAAACATATTTATCCACATTACTTATGTCACTGCTACATAAGCAGTCAAAGTAGTTTATTATAATCCATTCCATCAAATTAGAGTGCTCAAATGGGAAAAGTATAAGTTTATGTACCCGGTTGACAAACTAGTACAAGTTTAAATGGCCCCGAGGCCATTTTGGCTTTATAAAAGCCAACTGAACTTTAAATAAAATAATGAAAAGAAAGAACTAATGGGTCGTTCGGTTGGAAAGAAGTTATCCAAGGATTAATTATCTCGGGATTAGTTATTTCACTTTTTCATGAGG